TAACAAATTGTCGTGTTGGTATTATCAGTTGTCTTAAATTTGAAGAATTTTTTATCTTCTTGTCTGAGACTCCTAATAAATCCAATTTGTTCGCTTTTTTATTATCTTATTTTCGTACATTTTGAATTATCATTAACAAAGGACTAAATATTATTCATAACAAAACTGAGCCATTTTATTGAACATACCTATAACTATTATGATTCAAAGCTTGCGTTGCCATTATTATTGTAGGTATTTTTTTTTAATAGTTGTGCAATAATAATAAAATTGTAGTATAACAACCCCGGGTTCGATCAAAAAAAATATAAACGTAGTTGTGGCCAGAAATATGTGATCGTCATGAGAAATACCTACGTTGTATGGATCTATTTTTTATTGATCGGAAGGCGCTGGCTACTACTAACTTTAAAGAGAAGTATGGTTTAATTTTATAAAACAAAAGCAGAGTAAATACACCTAACTTAATTATTTACGTACAACAGTCTTCAAATCAAACATGTAACACATAGAAAAAACAGCAAAAACATTAACAACAATTTAACATAAAATGAGAGTGCCAGGCTCACCTAGAGCTCCTGTGGGGAAAGAGCATGGCAGAGAAACCCACGATTGTTGCTCTAACTACCCAAATATAAATACAAAACAACCGACAATAAAAGGCATAAATTAAGATCCTTTGCTAATGATAAATAACGCCCGACTTATTTAATGTCTCGCTAAATATCACCTCACTCGACTTCCACATACACACTTCCAAGTAAAACTGAAGAGGTTTGGTGTTAATTAGCCGGCAAGTACTTGAGTCCCATATGGGAGGCAATCCAGCTATGGGTTGAGATTTCGGAAGATCTGTTTTAGCAATTCTTTTTTTGTTTTTAATTATTCTTTTTACAGATTCATTCCTCACGGGCGAAAATGTTAGTAAATTCAACAAAGCTCATATATGCGTATGACATAAAGTGAGCACAAGAAACGCTTTACTATTTGTTTTTGGAACAATGTAATTATGATAAAAACAAGTTAGATGTGAAACAAAGAAGTTGTTATTGCAATATCTGGGCAGTCACGACAATATATATATTTTAACAGGTAATAAATAATGAGCAATCGCTAATAATAATTGTAACAATTTTACCTTAGAAAAATATATGCCCTTGAGCATAAAGCAATGGAAGCTAAACATACAAAGAATTATTATCATTGAACATCTATAACCTTCACAATCATAAGATTACATAGAACAATTAACAACAAAGTACTTAGAGAATATTACACGAGTGCTAATTAATACGGGTTAAACACTGATTTTTCACTATTTTGCCACACTGCCCGCCGATCGTCTTACTCCTATCTCCACACTATTCTCACTTCAACAATTTAGGCTTCCTTCCAGAATTCCTTACCTAAGCGTTTGTTTTTGCGCTCCTTCTACCAACTGTCAATATTACGTTTTCATTATTATACAACACCCACGTAACAGGTGACGTCGAAGTTGATGCGATAAGTATGGTTTTGCACAAAATTAAAAAAGTACACAGCCTTCATAAATGATTACAAGCCACGTGACCAGTAATTTTGTTGGAAACAATAATTTTATTTCCTTCGCGTTGGATCAAGATCAAGATTACATTAAACGAGATTCTATTCAACCAATCAGCGATCGCATTATCTCGAACATAGACATAACGGTTTGTCATTGTTCATTATAAACGAATCATTAATCATTGTTCATTATAAACGCAAAGATTTAGGAAAATTTCGTTACCAGTACCAGATCTGCAACGTTGGTTGCATCAACTCATCGATGACGTAACTTGTAGACATTTATGAAGCCTCTGTAGTTGATTACATGTAAAAAAGAAATAAGTTATTGAAATATTTCTTCGAAAGACATTGCAACTGTTTTTCTAACGACGATTTTCACTTTCATCGCTTTTATTTTATTTAATTTTATTGAGGAAAGCTTTTTCTCTGTCCTTTCAATTGAAGATTATTTTATAATATTTTCCCCGACTTAGAATATTGAAAAAATTAACGCTACGCCGCTGCGTTATCTAAGCATCTTAGCTAAACGCTTGTTCTGAGGCGAATTAGAATATTCCTTCTGTCGGACATGCCACCGGAGACTCATAATGTTGATATTCGCCCGAAAAGGTTATTGCGCATTCCTATTCAACGTTTATTGTTCTTTTTTTTTCTAATTTATCTTTAATCGCTGCGAGAATGAATTCAAATCACGATCGAATCGCAACCGCATTAAGTCACATGTAATATTAGATGCCAGAGTTAAAGACCCATATGAATACAAAGGAAATAAAACAATAGTATAGGCACCGATCGATAGCAGACCCTTTGTTTGGGTATTACAGAAGTGTTCTTAAAAGAAGCCGATTGTTACATAGTCACAATACCTTTAAAACATTTTTTTATTTAAGAAATTCATTAGTACTAATTGAATTAATGATAAATTAGTAGATATAGGGTGTAACTGACATTATTGACCAAACTTTGACGGCAAGTCTATTCTTCAAAAATTAATTGAAAAAAAAAGCTAAACCGCATCGTTTTCGGGTGCTTTGCCTCAACAGACTTTGTAGGTAAGATGTTGGTAGATATGGCATATTAATGAGAACTAATAAGTTTAAAATCGGTCTGCCTATGGAGATCCTGGTGAGGAAGTTGGATGGGGTTGTAGTCCGTAAAGTAGTTGTTTCTCTCAATATAATTAGTTAAAAATGGGTGTTAAAGTTAAAAAAATAAAAATTGTATATTTTCGAAAGGCAAGAAAACGGTTTAGGCAATTTTATTCAAATTTGAAATGGAATTTTAAATTTAGATGGCATTTTTCCTTCCAAGATATTTCAAATTATTTAAAAAATAGAACATTGAACGCTAAATATATATTATTGCTGCATGTTGACTCATCCTAAATGCGTCGGTTGCGAGATAAATGGCAAAAATTAATAATGCAATGCCATGTTACGAGAAGATAATTATTGGTAATTATCTCGACATTAAGTTGTTTTTGAAATAACGATAACAATAATTCAAGTAACCACTTTATCCGCGAATGAAATAAAGTATTCATTTAGGTTTGAATTAAATTTAATCAGTTTCGTTTGTTAATTTTGAACACCCTTTATCTCGAAAGAGAAGCATTATATTTATAGTAACCTTTTTGTTAATTTGTGATTTAGAATTCGCCATTAAAGTTTGGCCAAACATTTTCGTTATGTCCCGTATAGAAAATAGAAAAAAATTAAAAATCTCTTTTTTTAAAAATCAACTGTTTGTCCCATTGAAAATATTCTTCAATTTTTCTTTAAATATCATGTAACTTATTAGAAATTACTAAAACTTTTTTATTTACAAAATCTCATACGACATCCACATAAAAATTTAAGGTATTATTAAACTATGTTAGTGAAGAGAATACAAAAAAATTCATCACAAAGGTTTAAGTAAGCAAAACAAATTTGCAGCTAAATTTTAAAAGAGCGTTTTTTTGTTTTATTTTTTTTAGGCAGACGAAAATGTTGCTAAGGATTAAGGTCTGCACTGCCTTGTCTAGAAAAGTTTTTCAGTACATTTCAGTTAATTCCTGAGATACTTGTAGTGATAATTAATTTGATTTGTCCTGTACATAAGTGTAATGATTGCTTAAAAGTTGACACCAAGTGGGAAAGTCTTTAAACAATTAAAAAAATACATGTAATCATTTTTGCTTTTCTTAATACTAATCAAAATTTTCTGCCATTTTCTTCCAAATTAAATCAGGTCAGTAAATATACTTGTTAGTTTTAATTTCGAAGAAAATGGCGTTGAAAACTTTATATTTTATTATTAGCTCTCGTATTTTTTACTCTATTTGAAAAGTATTAAGCTAATTCAAACAAATGAAGTCGAACATTGAATTATTATTGAATTATACCACTACAATACCTAGTAACAGCTAGTGTAGTAATAAATAATTATTCAGTAGTCAGTATAAAAACACATACCTAATATATTAAAATTAAAGAATATAATCATTCAAAGAATACTTATTCTTGTTGTTTGTTCTATTATCACCTTTGACGAAGACTAATCATGTAAATAACATCTGCTACCAAGAGAATTTTCTGTTTCTATATTTTACTTGAGATTGGTTCATCAGACAGCTCTTCTTCGCGTATGAAATAAATATTATATTAACAGAAAATAATTATATATAAATATCAAGCGTTTAGAAACAAATGGCATTTTGAAACGAAGTGTCACAAGCTTTAACATTTTGGCTGCTTAAAATAATGTAATTTAGTCTTAAACTAAAAATCTTCCATACCTAGATTGCCTTTAATATGTACTCAGACAATCAAAGATCATTAGAAAAGTTTTTTCTAATAAAAATTTTATTGCCGTCACTAGAATTTTTTAAATAATCATACTTCATTATTAGACATCGGCTTTGTGGCGAGAATCAACCAAATAAACAGACTGCCATAAAAACACATGCCATACACTCGACCAAGCAAACGGAAAAAAATCACTTACACACGCACAAACGACAGTGAAATGCACGCCCAGGCATTAGGCTGCCGCTAGATACATATCGAATAAATTGATCGATGCGAAGCTTAAGATCAGAGGCGGACATGTACATATTATTGTACAATAACGCGTATAGTGGAATTACTAAAATGTGAAGTAGTTGATGATTCGACCCCAATTAGTAAAAAATAGCATCTATTAAAAACTTCGACTAGTTTAGATACGCACCTGTGACCTCGGTAAATGTTAAACGGTCATTTTCGTTTTTAAAATGGATATTTACCGGTCGCCGAAAACGATTAACTGCGGAACATTTACGACAACTGTTGATTATTTTCTACAATCGCTTTCCTCATGAATAAGAAATTCTTATTTGGTAAAAATTTTCTATACCTACCCCTGAAAACCGTTAACCTTAACCCGTTAAACATATTTTATTTTCTTAATCCATTTTTACTTTGTTACAGGAAAGAGGATGGGAATACAAACAGATATGCGTAACCAGAGTACCGGGTTATGGCTTCGGCATCGCCGTCTCCGGGGGCAGAGACAACCCCCATTTCGCATCTGGGGATCCCAGCATAGCCGTTAGCGACGTCCTTGCATCTGGACCCGCTGAAAGGCTGCTGCAGTGAGTACAAGTCGATCTTTGCATACAGATTATGTCCCAGTGAAACAGTGCCTAGTGCCTGGTGTCGAATAAAATATAAGGCGTTATTTCTATTTTATTTTTATTCAGCATTATTCAAAGTACACTGCCGAAAACGATCGTTAAATTGTTTAAAACAGTCTTTAAACTTCCGCTGGAATCGAATTCAAAAACTTTGTTTTTTAAATTCACTGAAATGAATTATAACGTACTCCTTTTATGGGCAATTTCAATTTTGGAAACACCTAGACGTTAGCGAGAAACAAATGTGGAAGCTAGAGCAAAAATGTTCAAACAACATCTTGTCAAAAATGTCTGAATGCCAGTCCGTTGTCCTGCAATAATGACCAAGAACTTTGTTCATAGTAGTCGGGCCATTTGCGAAGAATTCTCGTCCACAACAATTTAAACACTCGAATGGTAACACAGGCCAACAAGGAAAAAATTCCAGAAATCAGACACTACGTTTCCGAAGGCATTTGGCTCGCTGAATCAGAATCTGGCCTCAGAATTGATCCATCACCCTAGGTTTCCGAGATATTCTAACCTAAAAGTGCATAAAACACGTGCTTTTGCTATATTCAAGGTTATGTAACTTGGCGAAAAAATTTTATTTTTCAAAACTGAAAATATCATTGGAAACTACTATCTTTCCCCTTCAAAACGCATTATTTTATTTGTAAAAAGCTTTATTTTTCGCGGAGATATCGTCAATTAAAGATGATCAGTGTAGCTACCTTATTAAACCATGGCTCGACACAATATCACTAAGCGCTACGAGCCTTAGAGGGCTCGCAGCGCTTAGTGTTATTGGGTAATAGGGCTTGAAGTTAACCTTCCTGACGATTAGGGCTCACAGCGCTTAGTGTTGTGGGGTTATAGGGCTTGGGATTAACCTTCCAGACATATAGGGCTTGGGGTTAACCTTCCTGACGATTAGGGCTCGCAGCGCTTAGTGTTATTGGGTTATAGGGCTTGAAGTTAACCTTCCTGACGATGAGGGCTCGCTCCGCTTAGTGTTGTGGGGTTATAGGGCTTGGGGTTAACGTTCCTAACAATTAGGGCTAGCAGCGCTCAGTGTTATGGGGTTAGCCATGATGTAATAATATAGCCATACTGGTCATCTTAAATTGACGATATCTCCGCGAAAAATAGAGCTTTTTCCAAATAAAAAAATGCGTTTTGAAGGGGAAAGATAGTCGTTTCCAATGATGTTTTCAGTTTTGAGAAAAAAAATTTTTTCGCCAAGTTACATAACCTTGAATATAGCAAAAGCACGTGTTTTTTGCACTTTTAGGTTAGAATATCTCGGAAACCTAGGGTGATGGATCAATTCTGAGGCCAGATTCGGATTCAGCGCGCCAAATGCCTTCGGAAGCGTAGTGTCTGATCTCTGGATTTTTTTTTTTTTGAAATTTTGTCGGCCTGTGTAATTAATATGTGATGTAAGATAAATCCATACAAATACTATAGTGTAAAAAATAAATCAAAAGGAACTCTTACACATAATAAAATTATTTAAATATATTCATTTATATGCTACTGGAATTTGGTCGCCTTTAATAAAACCAGCCCACTGCCTACATAGTCAGTATGTTTACGTACAAAAATCGAAATTAATTAAGGAGGTAGAAAACAGGAGGTAGCGAATTCAATTCAATTATTACTTTTATTATTGTTATTAATGAATGTAATCAGTAAACATAAATAATCATTAATTGATACTTTAATAAAGGAAAAATTGATACATACTCAATGTTACAACTGTTCAAAATGTTAGTTGCTAACCGATAAACATACAGGGTGTTAAAAAAGGAGTGTAAAATATTTCAGGAGGTAATAGTATGAACCAAAATAAGCAGAAAAGTCTTAATAAACTTGGGTCCGCAAAGTAACGGTTGCGGAGATATGGACCACTATTCGTTTTTCAAACATTTTATTTTATTAGGAATAAACCGACAAAGGAAGCTTTTAACAAACAAAAAACAAAGTTACAGAAGATGTTCAAAGTGCCCTCCGTCCATTTCCAAGCAGGCACGACATCTTCGTCTCAACGATATTCGAACTCTTTCGAAAACACCCTCCTTGGTTTGGATTTCTTGACACTTTTGATTAATCCGTAGCTGCAGCTCTTCCAGGCTATTTACAGGAGTACCATACACTAATGTCTTCAAATATCCCCAAACAAAGAAATCTAGAGGGTTCAGATCAGGCGATCTTGGAGGCCATAAAACAGGTCCGGCCCTTCCTACCCATCTATGTGGAAAAGTTTGGTGTAAATGCTCTCTAACGGCCATGGAAAAATGAGCTGGAGCACCATCATGCTGGAACCACATTTGTTGCCTCTGATTCAAAGGAATGTCTTCCAAAAACTCATACAGTGTGTTCTGCAGAAAGTTGAGGTAAGCAGCGCCTGTTAATCGGTTTGGTAAAACAACAGGACCTAGAAACCTGTCACCTACAATACCCATCCAAATGTTTAATGAAAAACGTGCCTGATGTCCAGATTCTATTAGAGCATGAGGATTTTCGTCGGCCCAAATATGCGTATTGTGAAAATTAAACACTCCATTTCTTGTGAACCCGGCCTCATCAGTAAAAAGAATGTTTGCAAGAAAACGAGGGTCTTCAGCATCATGACGTAGAAACCAGCGGCAAAAAACCAAACGTGCTTGATGATCATTTATTGGATTTAAGGCCTGTACTCGTTGCACATGGTATGGATAAAGCAGTTGCTCGTGAAGGATTCTCCAAACAAGAGGACCACTAATTCCTACCTCGGCTGATATTCTCCGCACACTCGTACCTGGATTCTGCTCTACCAGTGCTAGAATTTCTTCTTCTGCTCTAGGAGTGGATACCGACCTTGGTCTTCCGGATAAATGGCACTGTTTGCTCAAGGAACCGGTATCACGCAATCTTTGGTGAATTCTTCCAAACATGCGTTGTGAAGGAATCTGGCGATTTGGATAAGCGTCAACATAAAGACGTCGCGCTTCGGTGGCGTTCCCATTAGCACGACCATACATGAAATGCATGTCTGTTAATTCTGCGTTAGAGTAACCAGCCATAGCGAAAGAAAACTTGTGCACTGAGAACAACTGTCAAATACGTACTGTTTATTTCACTAAACATCAACCAACTATTATAAGAAAATACACAACGTTTTTGCAAAATAAAAAAAGGGGCTAAAAAACATAAAACATTCCATATCTCCGCAACCGTTACTTTGCGGACCCATGTTTATTGAGACTTTTCTGCTTATTTTGGTTCATATTATTACCTCCTTAAATATTTTACACTCTTTTTTTAACACCCTGTATTTGGGCACGTCCAATCCAGTTTCTATGAACCGAGTCAAATGTTTCTTCTAATCGCTGGCTCGTAACTTATCCCTTTTATGCTCTCGTTGAACCACTGCTGTAAAGGTACGAGATGCTAGTAATATATTTTGTCTTGTTAATAAAGACGATCTCCTTTTTACTGGAACGCATTGAAAAAAAATTTAAAGAGTATAATCTATTTCATATCTCGTTTTATAGAGTAAACGACCGCATCATATCAGTGAACGGCATATCGTTGCAAAACGTGGACTACGCTACCGCTGTCCAGGTGCTTAGAGATTCCGGCGATACCGTCACGTTGGTCGTCAAGAGGAGAACGGCCCAGCACAGTCACAGTCACAGCGCGTCCTTCAATGGTCCCCCTTTGGCGGCCCTGGGGGTCAGTCCCCTTCCCGCCAAGGTAACCCTTACCAAAAACTCGAAGAAAGAAGGTACGTGTGTTTAATAGAAGAGTGATTTTTTTTAAATATTTTATTCTTCACCCGCAAATACTATTTTAAAATATATGAGAAGTTAGAAATGTTCCTGGTAATGATTTTTCTCTCCTTAATATGTTTTTTTTCTCAAAAACTAGAGTGTGCCGACTTGAAGTTTTCATAGCATTTGTAAACAGATATGCCTGATCTCATTCAGCCATTTTCGGTGTCCTTGAATAGAGAAGCGGTCATCAGGCCCGTAATAAGAATTTTTTACTAATAACACTGGTCAACAAAATTTAAACTTTTTTTTGTCACACGAAAACTTTTACCAAATTTTGAATGTACTATGGCCACCAAACAATAATATATCAATGGAAAAAAATTGACACATCAGGTTTCTCTGTGACATCAAGACATATATTTTTATAAAAAGTACAAAAATCGCTAACACTTAGAAAAAATATTCCTTAATGTACAATAAATAGCTATGATTTTCGTGAATGTTTGGCTTCTGGTAGGTCCCTTTTAAGTCTCCAACAGTAATCTGCTAGCATTCCTGGACTCCATTTCCCTTGATATCGCTTTTCTATTAAGGAAATGTCCTGATGAAATCTCTCGCCTTGTTCGTCACTCACAGCACCCAAATTCTCGGGAAAGGAATCCAGATGAGAGTGCAGCGTATGTATTTTTAAAGACATATTACATCCCAAAGCTTTGTATGAAATTATAAACTCATTGATTAAGTCTTTGCAATTTTCCGCTTTATGGTTTCCTAGAAAATTTTGAACGGTGGTAAAAGTATGTCGTCAGGGTTCACTAAAGGATCATTTTTAACATTCTTCTGCCCTGGAGTAAGTGATTGACGCCTGGGCCATACTTTCTTTGTGTAGTGACTTTTGAAGTTGACGGTTCATAACTTGGGTCACTTTCTTGATATACCTCATCGTGTTGACTAAGAACAAATTCCGGACTAGGAACAGAATCCTGCCTTTCTGCTTGATGTGGAGGCTTTGGTACAGGCAATTCGGCACTATGTAGGATTGGTCTGTTGGCCGATGAAAAGTTTGGGTACTGGACAGTGTGTTTGGACTTGGTTGTAACGCGTTTTGTTTGAATCAAACAAAAATAACAATCACTTACATGATCTTTTGGTTCCGTCCAAATCATTGGTATACTAAAAGGCAGATGTCTAGATTCTTGTTTAGCCCAACCTAATAGGAGTCACACACGTTACACAAAATATATGAGGAACACGGGATTTATCTTGGTGGCGCACAGGAAAACCAAAATAGTCTAAATAGCACTTTTCAATTAATGGCGTAAATTTCCGACTCTGAGATATAAAAGTAAATTCTCCACACACATAACAAAAACTGTCTGGGTTATTAGAACACTTTCGCGGCATATTTACAATGTAACAAACGTAAGTTAGTTAAATGCAATCGTTATACGCCTAAATTAAGTTATTTAAACAAAAACACGTAAATGAGGTCAGAAATAAATATATAGCTGTCACAAAAAAACTGGATGTCACTGAAATAAAATAATAATTATTTTTGAATGAGGGTACATCATAATAAATAAAAATCATCAAAAAGTTCGTGTGACAAAAACAGTGTTTACCAGTGTAATTATAAGGATAATAATCGGAATTAATCTCATAATTTAAAATTACTAATATTATATTGCGACATTATCATATCCAATTTGTATAATCTTTAACTTAAAATAAAAAAATAAAAGACTTCATGATGGTAGCATTGTTGTCAATTTGGCGCTGTATCCGTTGCTGGATTAAAAAATAGCGTATTCTATTTGATATTAAGTTGATCCTAGTTAGTGAAAGTCAAATCGAAAGTCACACCACGTTCGTTTGTTGTTAACATACAACTTTTACATGAAACTTTTTTATAGGATGGGCCAGGAAAATAAGCTGGAAAATGACCATTTCGCGACTTTTTGTTTCGGCAAGCTGAATTTTTCACTATAGATGCTAAATATTATATACAATAACATATTAGTTTCCGCAGTCATAAAAATGGGGGGAAGATTGTTTACAGGGTGGTTAATTGTATAATTTTTACGTAAATTCACGTTTTTCGCTTATAACTTTTTTCCGTCCATTTCCCCGAGAAAACAGTAAAGTACTTTTTTTTTCGTCTCCAAAAGACCTACAAAACTAGCACTCGTGCGTCAAAAAATATTGATTAGATCAAATGTTATAAATGGAATAGAAGTTTATTTATGAGTTTTGAATTAAACATTTATAAACTGCGTTATTATTACCAGAACGTTTTGGCATCGCATCCTCTCATTCCTTATCACTGTCTAATAACTCACACGAAATCTGGAATCGGTAAGTTGAATAGTTTACAAGTTATGGCC